TTCATGGTGGAATGATATGATTTGGTCATCTTGTTGGAGATCTCTTGATGTTGGTATCTAAATCTTACTTCTTGGCTGGTCCAGTTCACTGGAGCACTTCTTTTAACCTCTGGATACAAAAGTCTGAGACCAGAGAGGAAGAGGGTTGGCAGTCTCAGCATCCAGAATGTATACATTTACTAGATCCCCCTGTTTTCAGTATGGCCCCATGCCTTTATCTGGGCCTGATGACCTCCCTGGAGAAGAAAGATACTTCTAGCCTTTTGCTGGAGTGGGAAACATGATGAAAATATGCAGAATGTGGGAGAAAAATCTCAGGATCTAACTCCTCCTAAAGGGCTTCAATTAGTCTTTTTTTTTTTTTAATATGGGGATGGATCATGGTCCTGTAGTTCTTATGTTAGTTCAAACAAATATTTGTTGGACACTTACTATATCCTGAATTGTCCAGGTGGAGTAGGGGTAGGGCATGGACTCTACAGGCAGAGGGGACCACAGGAGCAGGGATTCTGAAGCCAAAACCTGCATGAGGTGTAGCTGGAACCCAGTCTTCAAGGGTATTGTCAAGGTATGCCCTTCTAAAGGGTAGGAAATAAGATTCACTATTAGTTAATTTTCTTTACTTTTTATTGCTTTCTTCATTTTACCCCTACTTCCAGAGGAGTTTGATGTCATCAGTTCTTGAGAACTGGAGGGCTTCTGTGGTACACCTTGATTATTGTCTGCTTTCTCTGCTGCTCATTTAGCTATCAGCCACTCATCTATTTTCCCAGTTCCAAATTTAAACAAGAAAATTTAAACAGTTTCTTTTCACTATTATGTTAATGAGGTAAGACTGAGATTAGTTGCAGATATTCAAGCTACTGTCTAGACTCAGAAGTCTTACTATAGGACATTTAATAAAATTCAGGACAGCAGAAACTGGGAATCCTATACAGTATCAAGCCAAGCTTTTAGTTTCAAGTGATCCCAGGTTGATAAGCACCTCCGGGTTTCTGGCAGACACAGTAGAGGGAGGAACCCACTTTCCACACAGGGCCCAATTCCTACAGGTAAAGTTCCAAGGGATGTGCATTCAGAGTCAGAGGTTGCCAAGCACTCTAGGAAATGGAACACAGAGAGAGCTAGCAGGAGCAGCAAAAGGGTAGTAAATACAAAGCCTGCAGATTGTGGGATTATCAGACACAGACTGTTACATAAATATGTTTAATAAGTTGAAAGAAAAGGAGATGGAGAAAATGAGCACATAGCCAAGAAATTATAAAAATGAAAAAACCATTTTGAAAACAGATCAGATAGAACCAGAAATGAAACAGTCATTGAAATAAACTTAAAGATTGGATTAACAGGACATTAAGCACAGTTGGAAAGGGAATTAGTTAATGGAACAGTAGATCTTAGAAAATTATCCAGAACACAGCACAGTTGAGACAAAGAACTCCAAAAGGAGAGGTAAGAGAAAATGGCAGAAAGAATATTTGGAGAATCACTCAGAATTTCCCAGAGTGAACAGGATGCCACATGGTTCAGAAATTCTAGTGAAGATCAGTAGGTTATGAAAGAAAAAGAGGATGAAGAAATAGGCAGACTCAGTGTCAAGTTCGGTACTGCAGAGCACCTCAAAGAGATTTAGAAATCAACCAGAAAAAAGACAGACTACTTACCAAAAAAACAATGATTCTATAGACACCTGACTTCTTGACAGCAACAGTGTAAGCCAGGAGACAGCAAAATGTTATTTTTAATGTGCTGTGCAAAAATAGCTGTCCATCTAGAATCTATACCCAGTGAAATAATCTTTGAAGAATGAAGGTAAAATAAAGACTTTCAGTCACACAAACTGACTAAGCTTGCTACAACAGACTATCCATGAAGGAAATTCTAAAGACTTCAGACAAAGGGTAAGATCATAAAAGAGGTTGTAATGGAAACTAGGAAAACTTTAATACTGAATGAGAACATATCAAAACCTGTGACACTTGGAAGAACATTTGTAACACTGAATGCTTACATTAGAAAAGAAGAAACACGATCAGTTAAGCAAGTAATTTAAACTAGAAAAAGAACAATAGGATAAGCCCAAAGAAAGAAAATGCAAGGAAATGAACAGACATTAATGAAGCAGAAAGCAAGCAGACAATACAGAGTTGCAGGCAAGTTGGTTTTTGAAAAGAGTAATAAAATGGACAAATGTCAGGTGAGCTCAATGAAGGGAAACTAGAGTGATGATACAAACAGTATTAGTAGAAAAAAAAAGTTATGTGCACAGAGATTAAGATGAGTAGAGGAGGGCATGGGAACGTCTTTATGGCAATAAATATGGACATTTAGACAATAAATGTCTAGAAAAATATCATTTATCAAAACTGACTTAAGAATTAGAAAGTCTAAATAATCCTGTAACAGTTAAAGCAGTGAAGTCATTAAAAATCTTGTTTCAAACAAAACTCCAGGCCCAGATGCTTCTGCTGTCAAGTTTTACCTGCCATTCAACAACAGCAGCCTATTCCAGAGTAGAGATGGGGAACACTCTCCAGCCGAATGAAGCCTAACAGATAACCATATGAGAAAGGAAACTCACTTATCAGTCTCACTTATGAATATAGTTGGCAAAAATCCTAAACAGGATATTAGCCAGCTAAATCTAGCAGATATAAAAACCTGACCAAGTTGGGATTATCCTAGGTTGGCAAGGGTGTTTTAATATTTAAAATTTTATAATGTAACATCGTATTAACTACTTAAAAGGGGAAAAATCATACTATCATCTCAGTGGGTGGACATGCAATTTTGGTTAAAATGCATCAACAGATTATCACAAAAGTCTCAAAATAATAGGTGGAAATTTTCATAATCTATTAAAGGGTTTCTACACAAACCTACAGCAAATACCATACCTAATGTTGAAAGAGTGAAAGGCTTCCCTTTGAGATCAAGAGAAGATAAGAATGCCCATATGATTATTATAAGTTAACTTTATAGTAGATGTTCTAGCCAGGTAAGATAAAAAACAAAAAATAGATAAAGAAATAGATAAAGGTACTTAAAGGAAGAAACCAAATTGCTGTTAATATTCATAGGTGATAGGATTTTATCCAAAAGTATATTCAGAAACACCCTCATATCATCTTTTACAAAAATAAGGCATTTTTTAAATTAAAAAATGGTAAAAATGAAATGAATCAGACATGCATCTGGATGTAGGTCCTATATCTGAGTATACTAAGCAGGGACAGTGAGTCCTACAACTCAGCTGGTTGGTTTCCTGTCTCTCAGAGATCACTGTCTTTTGTTACAGGATTTCCTAGTGTCTTGAAAACTGTTGTTTTATACATTTTCCTCTCATGCCTTAAAACTTATTTCATATAAAAAACATGTTTGTTTTGGGCTGTTTCAAATGGGAGGGTGAATCTGGTCTTTGTTATTCCCTCTTGCTGGAAGCAGAAGTTTATTTAATGGCTTGTCAATCTTAGTCCTCTTTGATAATGGCTTATCAATTCTTAGTCCTCTTTTGTTAATAAAGGGTTATTTTAACACACACTTTGTTCCGGTGCAAGACCTTTCCTTTAAAAGCATGTGTAGATTTTTAAAATTTTGTTTTTAAAGAAGGTGGTAATTTAAAGGCCTGATCCTGAGGACCTTTAGAGTAGGGAGTGGCCCTGAGATGGATAATTCCTGAGGCTTTTGTTTTTCTGCTGCCTACATGCTTTGTTATCCAAGGCTGTTCAAGGTCTCACCACCTCTGGAGTTTTGACCCACTGATGTGTTTCATAAATTTTAATGAAAGGCAGATTGAGAGAAATCATTGATGGTCCCACATGGTTGTACCAGATCCGTGCACTGGTTCAGAATGCAAATGTCTATGAAATTACTCTTAAGTTACCTTTCTGGAAAGCCCCAGACTCCAACTTCTGGCTCATCTGATCTAGCTAGGTCAGATCAAAAGTGATTTTCAAAAGCCCTCATGTTCTTGGCACATTGCTATGATTTATTTTTAAGTCACAGAAAATTGTCCAAATATTAGCACACATACTATAGAATTGCCAATAAACTAGGTATGGTTATGCTTTTTAAAGGAGTTTGTAAAGAATATGGTTTAACTTGCCAGTGTGTGACAATAAACTTATTTCTTATGCGTGATTATGAGCTTTATTTATAATTCACTAGCAGATGTTTATTTCATTTAGTTACAACTCAGACATTCTTAGCTTAACTCAAATTTTTTCTATATTTCACAAAATTAAAAAAAATTAGACTGAGACTTTTGTTCAAAACATCCTTTAAATGGAGCCAGATTATGGTAGAAACAGATTTTATTATTTCTGCTAATAAGGATCAGGGAGAGAAAAGGAAATTGAGATCTTTGAAAGGTCCCTCAACATCATTTAGTCCCATCTCTTTCAGCCTCCCTGCTGTTGTCAGACCCGCTAGCTTACAGGGCAGGAGAGCTGCCCGTGGGGACTCTGGCTCCCTTCGTTTCTGTAGCCCACTTGCTGAGCTAATGAGTAGTGTAATGGCCAAGAGAGAGAGAGAAATATTAGAGAAACCAAAGGGCCTAGATTATTTGAAACTAAATAAGTAACATCAGAATAATGAGGGATTGACTGCCTTTCCCTTGCTGGGTTCCAGTCCTTTGATCAAAGGATGTCTTTTCCTTACTGTTTTATACTGTCTTAATCAAAACAGCCTATATAAATAATTGGATTTGGGGTAGATAGGATGAAAATGAAAAAGGGATTAGAAATAGCATGTACTCCTTTTTTTTAAATTAAGCCTTCAGATGGATTTTAATAACTTAAACATGTTAACTGCAATTGGTATTCCTAGTTAAAAAGTGGAAAGGGTATTTTGTTTTTGGTAATTCTTTTTTTTAATATTTATTTATTTTGGGGGGGAGGGGCACAGGGAGAAGGGGAGGACTACCTCAAGCAGACCCCACCCTGAATGCAGCACCTGATGTGTTTTTGGTAATTCTTAACAGCGTATGTTTTTCTTTTCAGCTACTAAGTCAGGATTGTTACCTCCACCACCTGCGCTCCCTCCAAGACCTTGTCCATCACAGGTAGGAAACAGAAGTTGATTTCTGTGAACTGTTGGGTATAGTGAAATTGTCCTGCCACTGTGCTTCCTTTGCAAGGGTTGATTGCCACAGAACTGGCTGGTCACATTCCCAAGATGGCATCTGGACAAAGAGAGCAGAAAGTGGTTGCATTTCCTCTTATCCAGCCAGTCCCCCAGCCTCATGTAGAAAAGGGAAAGTTTCCTCAATAAGCAACCAAACAAATGCATACTGGTTTACCTTTGGCCATAGAGGGTTGCATGTCATTTTCAGATAGAGAAAGGCATAGAAGAATGGGTATCTCTCCAATTGGGGGGTTGGGGACATGGTTTTTCTGTATAGTATGTACAGTCTGGGTGTGTATATTTTCATCAGTATTTTAGGAGCTGTGTTAATTCTCCATAATTAATGGTCATCACCATGGTATTAGTGCTGTGGTTTGGGCCTACAGTGCTTTCTTTATCGTTAGGATGGTATTTTCCTTTGGAACAATAAGCTGAAACAGCAGGACTTGGGAGAGTGTGTCACGAAAATCTGTTTCATTTGTGAATTAATTCTGCCTCATTTATATGTGCTACTATGGCCTTATTCATCAACACTCCTTGTAGAGTTGGAAATGAGAAGCAAGCAGCAAATCTGCAGTGTGGTAAAAGGCACTACAGATACTTCTTTTCAATAATTGCTGCTGAAGAGACTTCCTGTCTTTAAAGGCCCTCTAACTTTCAGCAGAAAATGTTGGGAAATTTCTGTATTAACAGTCCTAGTTTTTGCCTTATTGCTCTAGATGCTTCAGAACATACCTTTCCACATGGCACATCTTAGGACTTACTGAGTCACTGAAACCACTTTGAACATTTGCTTGTCCTTCTTTTAGAGAATTAGATCATCTTAAGCATCTGCTCAACCTTGAGGTGCAAATACAATGAGTACTGCTTTCCTTCCTCAGTTTGAAGAGTAATTAAAAGCCCTGTTCTTCCTGACTCACATATAAACGAGTGAGAACCCCCTTTCTAATACTCCAGGATTGGCTTTAAAAGTTGTTGATTAATCAGTCAACAAGTATTTATTAAGTCCCTGCTGTATATCTAATGGCAAGCTTTAGTTCCATCCTAAGCTTTTCCCTGATTATAATTTCTACTCATTTAAATGAATAGCTCTGTTTATTGAGAATCTGCAGTAGACCAGGTATTGTGCTAAGTGCTTTCAATGCATTATTTAATCTTCACAAAAATCTTTTGAAGTAGGTGTTAATAGCTTTTATTTTTTTACAGATGAGGAAATTGAAGCATACAGGGTTAAGCAAGTCAGCCAAGGTAACATAGCTAGTAAATAGGTAGAGCCAGCTCCCAAACTGAGGTCTGTCTCCTAAAGGTCCCTGCCCTCCCCATCATTGGAGCTGAAGCATCTATGTATACAGTAAGACAGTGATCTGTTGCTCTAGCGGGTGAGGCTTTCACTACGTGCCCCCTGTGGAGGACCTAGATGAGACCAAACTCCTGACTGGCACCAACAGCAAACCTGGGCTTTGTCACAACAAAATAGTGGGCATTCGGGAGGCAGTTATCTACCAGCTACTGGTTTCAAACTGGGGCTTGGGAGCCACCCGGATGAATGCATGCAAGACCTGTCTGAAAGGGCTTTTGTGATCAATTTCCTTACCTTCTACTGTACAAGTAACAGGAATGACTTCCTGGTTGTGAAATGTGTTGCTGCTATCAGCAGTCCTCATTTGACCTGCTTGAGGTGGGCTTCCTGCCTGCTTGGGGTCTTAGTGACCAAGGATCTGATGGGGGGCTGGGAATTCTCAAGTCACTGTTAATGAATGAGACTGCTTCTTTGTCTACCAGATTTCCCATCACAATGTAAACAGTGAGTGCAGTGCTCAGCCCAAGCCTCCAACTCAGCTGCCTAACTTTGGAGATTTCAGACTACAGAAACAGGTGTGTAAGAAATGCAGGCAGAAAAGCCCTTCTCCACTTCCCTCCGCCTACTCTCCCCTTTTCCTCCACTGTAAGTGGGACACACACATTGAACAGAGGAAATCCTGGGTGCTGAACACGTGACTGTATTTAGTCGTTGTGCAGTGTCAAATTCCCAATGGCCCTGGGAGAGGCTCACCTAACCATGTGGATGGGACACCTGTATATTCTAGTCTTTCCCACACTGCTTGTGATAAAGCGGTCTTCTGGGAGATATTAACAGGGCTCTGTGGTAAGACAAATTTGTAGGCTGCTGCCTCAGTGCCCGCTTGTGAAGATTCACGGTGCGTATGGGCTCATTAAAGGGTTTGAAGTCCTACAGTAAAGAAACCTGGTCAATTTTGGTAAAGCTTGCAATTTCGTAGTGTGTGTGACCATTCACCTCTTTCTTTATACAAGACTTAACAATCCCCTGAGGGCTTGGTGGTTAGGGAACGTTATTCTCCCCAGCTTTAAAATATTGGTAAGGACGTTTCCAAACTGCTTTCGTCTGGCACCTCCTCTCTATATTATGTGATTAAAGTTAAATTTTTGTATCTTAGGCCAGTAGTTTTCCCTAGAAGAGTGGAAACTGAAAAAGAAAGTTTACCACATGTTAGCTTCAGATTTCTAGTTGTCATGTTTTCAGTTTGTTCTGTTTTTTGTTTTTTTTTTTTTATTTGCTTTTCTTTTCCTTCTGGCTTACTCTCTCATGAGGTCATTTTTACCACAAGCTTTATTATAGCAAACTTTGAGTTCTTCTTTTGTTCTGTTAAACATTTTTTTTTGAGTGTTCCTTGTTATATATGGACAATCGACCTGATTTTGGAAAAAAAATATATACACCTAACCTCAGAGTCTTTTTTACGAGGCTTAAACTGTAGTACCTAGGGGAGAAACAAGAAAGCTTGGTATAATTTAAATCTTAAATTTATCAGTAGCTCTGAGAAGAGATTAAGATAAAAAGGTTTTGGATTTAAATTTTTCTTTTTTTTAAAAAAGATTTTTGTTTATTTGAGAGAGAGAGAGAGCGAGCTCGAGTACAGAGGGAGAGGCAGACTCCCCACTGAGCAGGGAGCCCGGGACGCAATCCCAGAATCCTGGGATCATGACCTGCCGAAGGCAGATACTTAACTGACTGAGCCACCCAGGCACCCCTGGGTTTAAAATTTTCATATTACTTAACTTGATAAATGGTTAAGACTACATTATAATAAACAAGAAAACATTCTGTTCCCTAAAAAGGAACAACTATTTAAAAAACTATGTGGCCAGTCAGTGATGTCCTTCGAGGTTTTAAGTATGTGAGAGAAAAGCATTTGTACATTTGCAGATGTGTCCACAAAGGTATATAGAGATCATTTCTACATATGCTAGAAGTATATCTCTACCAATAAGAGAGATGAAATACAGGTTTTCAGCATAAAATGCAGTTTAGCTGGCCCTTAATACTAAGCACTAGTGTGATGATATGGACATCTGGAGTAAATTATACAAATGGGGCCCTAGAGTTAGGAAAAGGAATAAATTCAAAGAAACAGATCTTTTTATTTTGCATACTATAGGTAAGACCAAGAGGGACCAAGTGACTATATAAAGAGTCAAATGGTTTGTGTTCCATGTTTTCCCGAGGACAAGCTAGAGACCAAGGCATGGTATTTTGGCTCAGTTCAGAAGAGGTGACACGTTTATTTATTAATTTTTTAAAAAAGACTGATTCATAACATAAATGATTAAAAAGCAGTTAGAGTTAACTGTTTCATATGGAGCAGAGTTAACATGAGAGTTAAACTTAGTAGCTCACTGTTTGTATGCATATAAACTGAGTAAAATGCCATCTACAGAGTTGGTGCTTGTCCTGTAGGTCAGTTCTCTGCTAAGGGCCTATTTGGTACTCCAATAATTAAATCTCTTTAATTGTATTGATCTCATGCCAAATTTCTTATGGCAATAATCTTCATCAAGAAGTTTTTTTGGTACAAAGGATAATCTTTTCAGTTTTTTTTTAAAGATTTTATTTATTTATTTGACAGAGAGAGACACAGCAAGAGAGGGAACACAAGCAGGGGGAGTGGGAGAGGGAGAGGGAGAAGCAGGCTTCCCACCGAGCAGGGAGCCCGATACGGGCGGGGCTCGATCCCAGGACCCCGGGATCATGACCTGAGCCGAAGGCAGATGCTTAACCTAGACTGAGCCACCCAGGTGCCCCATCTTTTCAGTTTTATATTAGCACCACATTCGATGAATTAGGGCTCCCTGTAGACTAATGTGCTCAGAATTTTCCGGTTGATACCACTAATTTCTTACCTTATAATGGCAAGTGCTTCTCACTGGCAATGCAGTGAGTACTAAAATAGCACTGTAGGGTGAAAGTACTGTGGAGGAAGCATTTGATCAATACTTTTAAGCTTAGACCAAGAGGGCTTCATGGAAGGGCTAAGGTGACCAGTGAAATGAGTTTTAAACAAGAGAACTTTTCTTTTCAGATGGCTGAGGGGTTCAGAGCATTACTGTAGAGAAAAAGCAAATGCAAGGAGGCAGGCATGCAAGAGATCCCCATGTGTTCAAGGAACTGTCTGAAATTTAGAAAGCTAGATTTTAGGGGAGAGTGGACGTGGCAGTGAAGAGCCAGTGGCCTGCCCACTTGAGGCCCAGTGGTGCCAGAGCTTTGGGAGAGGAAGGGGCCCCCTGACAAGAGAGTTCTGTTGGGGGAGCAGCCCCTATGGGAGAGCACAGGGTATCAGCCCAGTGGTATTCACATTGTGCACACAGGAATCATCTGGAGGAGAGCTTTAAACCTACTGAGGTCTGAGTCCCACCCCCAGAGATTTTGGTGTGGTGGGAGGCCCAGGCTTTGGGAGTTTTAAGAAGCTCCCCACATGATTCTGAAGTGTAGTCAGGATTGAGAGACACTGAATTAAGGCAAGAGAAGGAATGTTCAGAGATGAAGTTGAGAATCTATGGGATTTGTTAATGGTATGCCCTGAGTTCTCTCTTTTTTTTTTTAAGATTTTATTTATTTGAGAGAGAGAGAGGAGAGGCAGAGCACAAGCAGGGGGAGGGACAGAGGGAGAGGGAGAAGCAGACTCCCCACTGAGCCGAGAGCCTGATGCGGGGGCTTGATCCCAGGACCCTGTGATCATGACCTGAGCCGAAGGCAGGCAGGCACTTAACGACTGAGCTACCCAGGTGCCCCATGCCCTGAGTTCTTCAGGTGTGCAGTAGAAGTCTTTCTTGAGTTGGGGAGGGTGGGAGGCATAAGGTCAGGTTAGGGGACGTACCCATACCCTGTGGGGACAAGAACCCAGATCCTGATGGATGGCCTTGGGAGTCTCAGTCTTCTTGGGATGGCTGACTCCAGCAGGGTTAGAGGGCTTGATGGGATGGTCTTGCTGGAAGGACTAGCCACTGTGCACCTCAGGTCCTGTGTGCACTATTTTGAAGGACTAGCCGTGAACCCAGGTGGCCTTGAGAGGAAACCATAGTCCACGTAGTGAGTCTTTCATCTAACTTTGTCATCTGGCTAGAATGAGGTCCCTAAGGCACTACTGAACCCAGTAGGAGTATGCTGGGCTTGCTGTTCTATTTCAAAGCCAAATTTCTTAGACACAACTTTTTTTTTTTTTTAAAGATTTTATTTATTTATTTATTTGAGAGAGAGAGAGAGAGAAACAGCATGAGAGGGGATAGGGTCAGAGGGAGAAGCAGGCTCCCCGCCGAGCCGGGAGCCCGATGCGGGACTCGATCCCAGGACTCCGGGATCATGACCTGAGCCGAAGGCAGTTGCTTAACCAACTGAGCCACCCAGGCGCCCCTTTTTTTTTTAGACACAACTTTTTAAGTAAGATCCCTCTTGTCATTTGAAAGGAAAGATGGGCTCACTTCAACTCAAATGGCAGTTTGTAGGCCCTGAACTACTTCTAAAATACTTGACACTATGCTTTTCTAGAAAATGTCCTTATAAATTAATATCCTGTCATTTCAAGTATTCTTTCTGTAAGTTAATGTATAGTTGGTGATACAAAATAGTAAATTCTCCTGGAAGAAATTAAGCATTTTAGAATTCCACACACACTTGTTCTTTCTCTCTTGGTCTTTGGGGGAGGGCATTACTGGTGATAATGTAAGTTTCTCACAGGGTTATTTAATAGGTTTTTAAAATGTAAATTTGATTAAAGTTTAACTTGCATACTCAATCCATTTTAAACACATACTAAATAATTTTTAATAGAGTAAAATGAAGTACTATCTCATTGGCAACTTTAAATATCTATAAGAAAGCGTTCTTTTAAGTATAAACAATATGGAAATGTCACCACTTCTAACATTTCATGGCTTTTCTCCTGATCAAATTAAAACTCAGTGGGCATACATCAAATATCATGAGATCTTTTGCTATAATATATGCAGAGGATCTCATGTAATGTACATTAGTCATCGAATCACCTTAATATATTGGCTATGTAGATAAAGCGTATTTGTGAGCTTTCAAAGATACAACATCCTAATTTTCACTCGTCAGTATGTAAGGTTAGTATATGTCAAAAGGTATTTTTCTATACATTCATGTATTTGAAACTTCGTAATTATTCTGAAGAGAGTTTACAAACCTATCACCTAGAATGCTACCTTCGCTTTCTTCGAGTGTTACCCTGTTCTGTCTTACAGTGCACGCTGTAGATTAGCTGAAAATCACAGTATATTAATGAGTATTTCTGTAATTAAGGAAAGAAGATCTAGTCCCAGGATCTATCTTCATCTGTGATGATGAAAGAACATACTGAAAGCTGTAGAGCATAATATGAATGTATCTGTGCTCTTGTTCTTAGCTCTACTACTCTGTAGCTTTGTGGGAAGTATGCAGATTAGTCTCACAGACCTACTGACTCTTTTATAAAATGTGAAGTTTAGGGTAGATAGATCCTTTTAGTGCTTAAGGTCTCTGATTCTGTGTTGTATTCCTCTGTCCAAGAAAAATTTTG